GAAAATCGATGCTCTACTGTAATACATTTAAAAACTTCAATATTGTTGTTTCTTGCTTTTTTGTTTGCAAATTTCGCAGAAAGGCAAGACAAAGGAACTTAAACTTCGAAGCTTTTTCTTCAAAATAAACACATTTCTTTTGTTTCTTTTTTCAGTTTTAAATATTTTTTACGTTTAATTAAATTAATATAAAAAAATGTCAATGTCCTTAAGGGATTAATAGTTAATTGATTAATTATTAAATGCAAACATTTTTTACAAATGTTTTTACAAGTTTTTATTTTGCCCTTTCTAACTTGGTGCCCTTGTGATTTGTGCATCTGGAGCAATTTGCTCCAACTGTTCCATGGTAGCTATGCCTCTGCCCATCATACAGGTGTAAGATTTGAAGGCAATGACCATTTCCTTTGAATCTTACACTTGAATGATGGGTGCACACATTGAGCAACATACCTTACATCAATAAACAATCTTTGCAGAAGGTGTGTTCCTTGTGGAATGAATAAATGCATTTTCATCGTGATTTTGTTGTTTTGTGTATTTTCTTTTAAAGTGCCCCTAGTGAAACTGAACTAAGGGTGCGACTATGCAGACGCGAATTTAGAGCGAGCGAGAGGTTGCGAGCGATTTAGTTTTCGCAAAGGAAAACCATGCACAAACGAGAAGCGAGAAATAATGCTAGCAAGAACGAATTTCTGGTTCTCACACATATCTGACAGGTTTTGATATTTATCGCATCTTGCCTCTTCTCGCCACATATTCTCGCTCTCTCGGAAAATTCGCTCGCTCGCGTCTGCACAGTCGCACCCTAACAGTTTTTTATGCAAAATCCTTTTCTGCATCCTTTGCATAATCTGTATACAAATTTTGGTGTCAATTTGCTTATTGGTTACAGCTACAAAGTGCTCTTAATAATGAAACTTTAAATATGGCTACCTTGTATAGTATACATCACTTTAATAAAATATTAATTTTTAAAAAATTTTTATTAAAATTAAAAATATAATTTTTATAGATACTTCACTTAATCAATGGTGGAATAAACAATTACAATGTCTGGCAATATTGCTGATGCTCAAGAAAAACCAGATGTTTCATCCCCTCTTCCTGAATTGAATCTTAATCTTCATAATTTTGATACCCCAGAAGCTCAAAACTGTCCATACGTCCTAACCAGTCCACGGTCATTAGAAGCTTGTTCCAGACTTGGTGTCAAAGTAAGAATCAGTGGAAGTTCTTTATTAAAACCTTCTACATTATGTAGACAGCCTTATCAAGTCAGATCTATTTTTCCGGTAATTATGTATTTGGTTTTCTGCACGTAATGTGTCAACTTTTGTTGTTTCATTTGAAAATCAAAATTGACAAAACTTCTTATACATAAGAAAATGTGAAGTTTTGGAATAATACCATATTTTAGTTTAAGAAAATGATTTATAAAAATTAAAATGTATCAAACATGCTTTGATAAGCTACAATATTAGGGAAAATTATGAAAATAATATTTTTATTTTCATAATTTTTATTAGTTCTTGATCATTTTTAAAGTTTATAAAAATTATCATCAATAGAATTATTAGATCAATAAATGGAAATATTTAGAATTTTGTGATTATTAATTATTAACAATATAAATTGAATATTCAATAATAAATAGCATAATATAGCTTCATATATATATATATGTATAAAACAGAGCAAATATTTAATTACAGTAATCTATTTATATATAAAATTGAATTCATGTTTGTCTGTCTGTTTGTTCGTTCAAGTATCATGTGATAATAATGGATGAACTGATTTCTATGAAACTTTGTACATATATTCAGGATAGTCCTGGAAGGATACAGGAGACTTTTGAATTCAAGTCTGTGTCTGTCTGGCTGTCTGAGTATTATGTGAGAACAGCTGAATCCTTCTCAGACTATAGAATGTCTTTAGAGTAAATTTCAATGTAAAATTGTTTTTGATAGTTTTATTGCATTATAAATTTATTATAAGTACATACTCTTTTTTTCTGTATATACATTTTTGTGTGTATTTTTATGAGTATATTACTTTTACTTGATATGTCATTGTCATTTTCTGAGTGAAGTCAAATACCTCAGGTTGTTTATTATACAAGTACAATAGTTTTATGTTTGGTTATATATCTTAGGATATTTTTTTTTATTACTTCAGTTTTCTAGATAACAAATTCATATCAGCTATTTCATATATATCTTACATTCAAAAATCTTTAGAGAGACAAGAAATTTTACAAAATTATAAGATACTGACTGCATGTGGAGATAGCAATTTTCCATTTTTCCAAGATTTTTGAATTGAATTCTATGAACATAAATTAAAATTTTATTACTTTTAATTTTAGTCAATTGGCTGTGTCAAAGTTCTAGGATAAAATTATTATTAATTTTATAGTAGAGATTTTTATTGATTAATAATTTTAATAATTATAGAATATTTATATTTTTGTTATCCAGTTTTCTAGAAACAAGGTTTTTTTTACTGCAGTCAATTTTTTGTGTATAAATTGTGTTTCTATAATTCATTTGCTTAATTTTCTGTAATATAAGAATATTACACTTATTTAATTCATTTTGCTGTTTGTATCAGAGTAATTAATGAATTTTGTGATAGTCAATACAGAGTTGAGTAAAAATTCATTGCATTAACAGAAAATTAAGTATATTCAAATATAATCTGTGTTTTAAGCATAATTCTTCAAACTATTTTCCATTATATGTAATAAAAGTAATTCAGATAAAAAATTGATTAATAATAATTAAAAATAGTACTAATGCATAATAATCTTAAATAATCTATTCTTGATTTTAACAACAATTGAAATATTAATAATATAAAATCACCAATTTTTATGTAGTTCATTAAATTGTTAAATGTAAAGTATGTAAATAAATTGGAATTAATTACTTTGGAAAAATGAAAAAGTAATTCTCATTTCTCTATATTTGATTATTTTTATATTTCTCAAGCAGTTATAAATTGTTAGCATGGTATGACACAGTTCTTACATTGTTCATTCCAATTTACAATAACAGTCAGCATATTCTGATTGATGAGATAATGAGAATTCTAATTGAATTATATCAAAATTATTTGATTACAATAATCTTCAAAATTGGATAAATTTTGAATTTTTAAAATAGATTTTTTATGTTTTATGATTAAAAAATATTACAGTGAAATAATCTTAGAATCAAAATGAATTATTTATAAATATTTATAAGTGTAGTGTTTATAAGATCATGTGTATATATAATGAATATATTTTCAAAATGTCTCTTATCCAAAATTTTCAAAGTTGAGGTATCAATTTGTGCAGATTCATTGATGATTTCTGCTTTCTTTTTGCTTCAAAACATCTTATAAAGAATGAAAAATTCTCCTTTAAATGCAAGCTTGCAAAGAAAATAATTCTTGTCCATAAGATGGCATCCATCTTACAGTAAAAACTTTTTAGTACAAAACATTCCTTATCTTTACATGTCTTTTCCACTGTTGTTTTTTTTTTTTCAAAATCTGTTGTTCTAAAGAATTGTTTTCAAAATGTCTTTTGTACCATCTTCATTTTCAAAGCATATTTTGTACCATGTTTGGTTTCAAATTGCTCCTTGTCTAAACTAACTACTTTAATTACTATCACAAGAAAAACTTTAAAATGCAGTGATACTTTTCAATCTAACATTTTTGATTGTTTTTATTGACCTCCTTTGGATGAAAAACAGTGATTGAATGACAGTTTTTATTTGAAACTAATGGAACATAAATGCATTTCTGATGCATATATTTAAATATAACTATTCTAGAACAAAAAATTTAAAAATGAGAGAATGTAGAACATAACAATCTAGAATAAATATCAAAACTGTGTGAAAATACCAACAAAAATTTTTTTATGTTAATTATTTAGTCCATTTGTGCATTTTGGTATTTTAATTGTTTTTATATATTTCCATTTATGTATTATTTAAAAATCCAGCATTCTTTCATTTTGAATTTTTTGTTCTAGAATAATAATTACAGTTAAACCTATATCTTGAATTTCACAGAACTGAAAAAAATTTGAGATAAACAAGTTTTAAGATGTAGTGGTTTCTATACAATAAGTTTGATTGGAAGTAGGGTATTTTATTAATAGAATAGTAATTATAGTACATACCTGTATTATAAACAAATAAAACATTCTGACATGCCTTAACTAGTTTCTGATATCTAACTTTCTTCAACCAATAAGATGCAAGCCAAACTCATAGCCAATCACAGAAAAGCAGCATTAATTACAACTATATACTGTATTGCAAGAGATGTTTCTCAAATATAATTTATTTATCAAAATGTAGTTGCTGAGCTTTGAATATGTAATTGACATTTTAGTCCATAATTTGAGAGAGAGGTTTTGGGAGCAAATTAATTGAGATAAACATGAAAATATATTGAATTTAGGCTGAAAATGAAGAAAAAAAATAAATTTTGAGATAAACATGTTTAAGATAGAAGGTTCAACTGTACTTGCATCAGAAATATGTTTATGTTTCATTTGTTTTGAATAAAAACCATCATTCAATTGCTATTTTTTTTATCCTAAATAAAGCATTAGAAGATGCATTTTAAAGTTTTTTCATGATGTTGGTATTTAATGCAAGTGCAGTATCCAAATGACATTAATTACTGTATTTTATGGTATATAAGATGCACTCCCGTTTTAGCATAGAATACTTAGGAAAAAGTTTTTAGTGTATTTAAGCCCTCCTGCATAATAAGATAACTGTGGCAAAGTATGACATATGTATAAGATAATAGATAGTAAAACACATACATGTGAATGTTGAGAAAAGATTACTGCTCAACTTTGAGAAGGATTTTTCAGTGTATGACATAAGATTGATTTAAAATTGCCTTATATTATCTAACTAACATTTACAATAATTCTGTTTTAAATAACAAAAATTAGTAGTAGTACTAATAATAATAAGTGCCATACTACAAATATACTCCACAGGCATTATTAGAAATTGACACACAAAATATACTGTGACAGAGTTATAATCTATATATATAAAAATGAATGTGGTGTGTGTGTCTGTCTGTCCTTCATGCATTACCACACCATTTATCCGATTGCCGTGAAACTTTGAGAAGTTGTTTAATATACTCCTGCGAAGGTTTCTGGCTGGCTAGTATGATTACCATGAAGCTTTGGGAAGTTTTTTAATACACTCCGTTTCTGGCATAGTACATTTATCCTATGATAGATGGTGCGATGCTATGATAGAGTGTATATGAGCATTTCATCGTGAGATCAATGGATTTCAAATTGTGAAGACCATTTCCCCCTCCAAAAAATATCTCTATATATGCATTTGTGAACTGTTATTTAAGATATTTGTAATAATTTTTGTTTAATCACTTTATTTCAACTTTTTTTTGCTAATTATGTATTTGCTTGAACTTTGTTAAAACCTTAACTGTATCCCGAACAACAACCGAAGTTGTAGGAGGAAGTTCACCTATTTTACCGATCTAGGGATTCCCCTTTTCCAAATTTTAATATCAACTCAAAATAATTTAAAAAGACAAATTACAATAAAACGGTTTATTATCCAACTAT